GGTTTGTTTGTGTGCTGAAGGAAGCAGTTGATCTTCACAAAATTGGCTCAGCAATTGAGAAAATTACCACCCAGCTTTCCAATTGCAGGTCAAGCTTGCGAGATCATGACATCATGGAAATAGCCACTTCTTTGTATGAGAGGCGGCAAAAACTAAGAAGAAGCTATTCTCATATTATGGATCGTGATGTTGTCGGTTTAGAAGCTGACGTACGAGAATTGGTTATGCAGTTGGTGAAGAAAGAGCCCAGACACCAAGTTGTTTCTATCTGGGGCATGGGCGGTCTAGGAAAGACAACTCTTGCAAAACAGATTTATCATCATGATGAAGTTAGACGCCATTTTGGCAGCTTTGTGTGGGTATGTATCTCTCAACAATGTCAAGTAAGAGATGTTTGGGAACAACTTTTAATTAAACTTCTTTCTGCTACCACCGTGCAAAGAGAAGAAATTGCAAAAATGACAGATGATGAAATAGCCAAGAAAATTTATCTTCTACAGCAAGAAAGTAGATGTTTGGTTGTCATCGATGATATTTGGAGCATCGAGACATGGGAGTCTTTGAAAGCTGCATTTCCACTAAATCAGAGAACAGAAAGCAGAATATTACTCACAACTCGAGTCAAGGAAGTAGCTTTGCATGCAGCAGATAGAAATGGTATCCTCCACGAACCTCGGCCGTTGAACGAAGATGAAAGTTGGGAACTATTGGAGAAGATAGCAATCTTCGGAAGAGAAGAAATAAGTAATTTCTCACCCCATTCTATTCTCCTGGATTACTTTAATTTCTTATTTCAATTGATTTCATATTCCATTTTACACAAATTAAAAAGAAATACGTTTTCGAACCTCCGTGTATGCTAAAGATTCGAACAAGGAGGACATGAAGAAAACAAATGGGTTTCAAACAATTTCTAGCACGTAGATATTTCAAAACAATTTCACATGTATAAGTACATCTAGTTATTTCAATTACATTGCTAAACGATATATGGGAGAGTAAACCTAGTAGGAATACTACGTTTTGTACCAAATTGATGTTCGATATTCTACACTAAGGGAAGAGAAAAAGGTTTGAATGCATGATGCAGTAGGTTTAAGAGGAAGATCCTAACCACTAGAGTAATTCACCATTTACCCTGGTGTATATAGATAAAAAGATAGTATCTAAGATAAATTATATTGTTTTTTCAGTTATCTAGAACTATATGTGTGTGTGTGTGTGTGTGTGTGTGTGTGTGTGTGTGTGTGTGTGTGTGTGTGTGTGTGTATTAGGTGAGATATCTAGCATCCGTTTAGTAAAACCATTAACTTATACTGTATGTATTTGATAAATTCATTTCTTTAACTCTCCATTAGACAATGCAGTTGTTAATATGACAAATAATTAATGTGGTGTTTCATTATTTGTCAGCCTCGGAAGTTTTCGGAAAGATGAAAGAAATAGGAAAGAAGATGCTTCAACATTGTGCCGGTTTGCCATTAGCTGTCATTGTGCTCGCAGGACTCCTTGCTAGAAAGGATACAATTGAAGAGTGGGATACAGTGCTTAACAATGTTTATGCATACATAAGAAGAGGCAAAGGCCATGAACAAGAATGCACGGGTACAATGTGGGTGTTGGCATTGAGTTATGATAACTTACCCTATCACTTAAAATCATGCTTTTTGTATTTAGGCATGTTCCCAGAAGATTTTGAGATACCAGTGAAAAGATTGACTCAACTGTGGATGGCAGAAGGTTTTATATCTATGCCACTACAACAAGGACAAGGTTTAGTAGAAGCAATGGAGGAGATAGCATACAACTACTTAAATGAACTGGTGGACAGGTGTGTGGTTCAAATTGGGGAACGGGGTTCTGTTAGAAAGATCAAGTCTTGTCGTCTTCATGATCTTATGCGAGACTTGTGTTTGATAAAGTCAGAAGAGGAGGGCTTTCTCCAAAATGTCAAATCATTGCACAGAAGTGAGACTATGTATTCTTCTCCTCCTCTGACGATAGCCAAGGCAATACCAGCGGGTAAGGTTCGAAGACTTGCCATCTGCTTGGATGAAAATGTTGATAAATTAGTTCCATCAAGTTATGAAAGAGATGCCCGTCTCAGGTCTCTTTTATACTTTGGCCCATTAGATTGGCATCCAAAAAATAAAAAGCTAGTATCATCACTGTTTAAGGACTTCAAATTGCTCAGAGTTTTGAAGGTTGAAGGTATGACTGCATTAGTAGACTTTCCAAATGAAATTGGGAATATGGTCCTCTTGAGATTCTTAAGTCTAAGAGATAGTCATATAAAACGGTTGCCATCTTCCCTGGGCAATTTGATACTTTTGCAAACTCTGGATCTTCGCTTTCATTATGACTCGGATATGTTACCATATGTATTTTGGAAGATGGTGCAACTGAGGCATTTGTATTTACCCTTGTCTTACACCGCACGTGGTAATAGACTACACCTATCTACTCTTCACAATTTGCAGACTTTAAATTATGTTTCGAGTCGCTGTTGTGAGTTGAATGATCTTGCTGGGTTAACCGGTCTCAGAAAACTGGCCATAGAATTGGCAAGCCCCTTGAAAAATTTGAAGGAAACCTTGAAAGGTATAAGCAGCACACTCAATGGCATTCGATCTCTATTTGTGCACAACTTACTTGGAACTGACAGTGGCACGGAGGTAACACAAATAGTATTGAGTTGTCGTCATGTGTACAAGCTGCAATTGATTGGTCGAACAGTAGAGTTACTTGGAGACCTTCAGCACTTTCCAAACCTCACTAAGTTATCTCTGTGCCGGTGTGATCTCAACCACAACCAAATGGCGGTACTAGCGAAGTTGCCAAATTTGAAAATCCTATGCCTAATGGAAGAAACTTTTGAGAGTTCAATTTCAGACACACTGGTTTTCTCCAACGAAGGCTTTCGTCATCTTGAATGTCTTTCCCTTGTTTCTATGTATGAGTTAAAGGACTTGAAGGTGGAAAGAGGAGCCATGCCGAGCCTCCGCCGATTGTTCATACAAGCTTGCTACAGATTGACCGAAATTCCAAACGGGCTGAGGTATCTTACTACGCTCAGGGAGTTAAGCTTCGCAAGGATGTCTACGACATTTCGTAACAGGCTTCAGGTAGAAGGAGAGGATTTCGATAAAGTCCAACACGTGCCTTCCGTTGTATTTGCCGACATGTTGGACAGGTACTTCTTGAATTTAAAAATCTCGAGGTTACTTCATTTGTGTTTTGTTTTCTTATTAAACAAGTAAAATTACAGCAAGGATCCGCAACGGATTTCATTTGTGTTGTTTACTTCAGCAGCTTCATATTACCTTTTTTTCTAAAATTTATTTAATCTTCTTTAAATTTTTACTGTTATTCTCCATTGTTGGTTCTCTGTTTTTTACTGTTTTTCTACTTCATGTTCATGCTCCTACTCTGACGATCTGACCTGCCCTTTGTTATATACTGCTTGTTCTAATTTTCAACTCATTATGTTTCGCTGATTATTCAATAACTGTAACCTAAGCATACCCGATAGAGAAATTGTTGGTAGTATTGTACTACCGTTCCTTGAGCAGCTACAAAGAAGCAATTAAAAGGAACATCTCTCTTATATTGCACAGCAGCATAAGCTGCAACTGATACAAATTATGTTATCAGCTTCTTTGTGGTGTAAAAGTACTTTATTTGTTTCTTGCTTACATGTATAAGCTCTAATAATTTCTCAATTTGTTGTTAGTTCTGAGGTCACGATGCTCCAATCACGGCAACGTATATAGCTTTCTGCCCAAGACTCTCCAGGTATTTCAGTCTAGGGTTTCACATTTGCAATATTTGCAATCCAGTTTTTTCTTTTAAAATACGTATAATTTCTATCCCAGTGCACTGACTATTCTTGGTATGTCGTTTTGCGATTTTGATCTATTTCATTCCGGGAAAAGCTTGTTGGGATCTATAGACACGTTATTTGGTGCTCAAGCAAGGTTGATTGGATACCAAAGCTTCCGTAGATTCAATTGTGAGTATGAATAATGAAGTGCGACGAGAATTCTCAAATCAGGATGTTCGAGCGAGAGGCAAGTACTCCTCCTTCGTCGGTGCCTCCAGTTTCAGATTTGGTGCTTCTGGATGCGCAACATGGTGGTGCCATAATTGTTTGAATACAACCTGGATGACTTTTACGTGTGATTGATTGAAACTACTTCCATTTCAAAATTGTGATCATCTTCTTTTACGTGTGATTGGCTGAACAATGCTATATCTTGTCTTTGTGATTGTTTGCAACTGCCTACTTTGTTAATGTTTATGCGATCGTTCGGCTACAAGTTTTGTTCAAAATTTTAATTGGTATTAGATCTTCAAGTTCAAAATTGGCCACTAATTAGCTCTTAATCTAGTGATATTTCCTTCGGTCTATCCAGCATTGGAACAAGTAGTGAGTTCAAAGTTTTCCTCCTCCATCCGTAGAAACAAAGTTGACTGGAATTTGTGGTGGTGGCTTTGAGGCTTCCGGTTCACGGTAGTGGTATGAGATTGAAAGGTTTTATGGGAAGAATGAATATGAGGTGTGGTAAGAAAAAAGCAATTCGAACATTCGGTGATTGTTGTAGGTCCCTAACTTTTATTATATCAATGTGGATTGCGTGGAGAAATAACAATAGAACTTTTCTAGACATTTGTAATTCATGATTTAATTAAAAAATACTTCGTTCGAATATAGGAATGGCTAAGAGTAAAATTCAAGAAAAAAAATCGATTGTATGTAAAATATCTCAAGAAGTTATGTAAGGGCATCCCATGTTATTATACAGGTCAGCTATTTCCAACCCATTTTAGTAGAAGGACGGTTCTACATACGAGTCCATAAGGCAAAGCAACGGAGCGCTCCAGGCCCAAATATTTTGAAAATCCCATCGCCTTTACCTCCGCCGTTGGATTATCAACCAATAATCCTGATCCAACGGTGGATATTGAGACAAGGATGCTTATCTAGAACTAGCGGATCCTTTATACTACGCGCACTCTCTGTACCCTTTTCCCACTTCACTCTCATGGCAGCTGAGCTACAGCCACCGGAAGCTCCTATCACCGCCGGCCCGACAATTCCAACCACCACAACGACACAGCTGATAAATACAGAAGCATCCTTAACTGCCACAACGACAATAGCAACCACAACGGCCGTACACGCCGCGGAGAACCACGGCCCCCAATTGGGCCCCAAAAGGCAGCGACGCCCCAGCGTCCGATTAGGCGAGATCGGCGACCAGCCCGCCGCTACTGGCTCATTTGAATCACATATGCGACGAGCCAGGCCCGGCTGGAGGCTCCCCAAGGACTCCAAATCGGTCAAGGCCCGGTCAATCACCAACCTCGTCAACGGCAACGAGTCCAACGAAATGACGCCGCCCGATGAGAGGAACCAAAACGGCGACGGAGGGTTCGAGTTCGGGAGCCGGAGAGTCAAGGCGAAGCGAGCCACGGGGACCAAGAGGATCCGATCGAATTGGGCTTCCAATTCGAAGCTCGACGACGGCGATAGCAGAGAGGAGGGTGGCGAGTGGTTCAGCGCGGATCCCGATCAGGATAGTCCGGTGAGGGGCAGCACTCCAGTGAACTCGGGGGACGACGCGGGGGAGGATATGTGGGATGGGCAGAGGAGGATGGCGGGAAATTGGGCTAGGGCGTCGGTGAGCAGGGAGAATGATGCCGTTGAGGCGGATAACATGCCGGAGTCGAATTGGAGTGGGGTGAGGTCGTGGCTGATAGAATTGGGGCTGAGCCGGTACACGCCGGTGTTCGAGATACACGAGGTGGACGACGAGGTGCTGCCGATGCTGACTTTGGAGGATCTTAAGGATATGGGTATCAACGCCGTCGGTTCACGGCGGAAAATGTACGCCGCCATCCAGAAGCTCCGGAAGGGGTTCTCGTGAGTCTGGCTTTCCTTGTTCTTTTTGGTTTAGTAGAATAGTGTAATCCTTTTGTTCTTACAATAACATAATTACAACAATGAGAATCATAGTTTGTGTTGTAACATTAGCTATTTGTTCATCTTTTTGTACTTTAATTGTTGTTTTCCCATCAACGCAATGGGAGTTTTCTTTAGTTTTTGAGCTAGAGTTTCGACTTGTAGTTTGTTGATGTAACACTACCATATTTTGATTCAAATAAAGTATATGTTAAATGAGTAATTTGGAACCGGCGTTCATTTCATCCTTCCTTTTGTGATGCCCTTTGCTTCTTGCATTTATTGTATGTTCGTAGGTTTCTAGCAGCATGTTGCGAATTCAACTAGCGTGGCAGTTATGTTGTTGTCGGTTGAAATGATACATAGCTCGGATGATAGGATTGTATTCTTGCTTGGCTTGGATGATAGGGTCGTTATATTGGTATTCTTTTGAGGTTCCTTCGTTTATGTCAGGAAAGCTTTGTTCTCCATACTACTGTCTGTAAACTGGTAACCGATAGTGTTGGCTTCAATGCTTAGCGTGATGACATACTTCATACAATATAGTTTGGGGGATGGGAGGACAGGGTAGGAACCATTTGGTAGGGGTTATAAGAAATGAATATTGATGGTTCACTCGTTTCTAAGCATTAAAAGGGGTTATTTATCATTTGTTAAAAAGGATGCTGCGGTGGATTTGATCCGAAAACTCAAAAGTAATGCCGTGTGTGGTATTGCTTTTGGCAAGAACTGAATCGGATACCTTAACTCGACCCCAGTACAGGGCAAGCATAACAACTGATTGTGAATTTGTTTTTTGTTGTGTTTGAGTATATGGTCTAGGACCAACAGCAAAAGAATCATAGTTTTACAAGCTACGCTAATGTGTGCAAATAACCTTTGATAGATAGTTGGGTGGTCATGCAGTCTACACAGAAATCGTATGTTCCTTGGCTGCATAATTGATGATGTAGGAGTTGTTTCTTTTAAATGATTGTGGAGCTGGTGAAATTTGAGTATTTCAGAAACAGTGGTGTTGTTAACCTACAGACGGTGCACTTGCGGTAAAATATTTGGTGTACCGTATTTTGCCTTGTCAGTTATTCTTGTACTATTTCTACTGGATTTTGCCCTAAAGCTTTTCCTAATCCGTAATATGTTTTAGGATGTTTTTCCTCTTTGGCCCAACAGTTGTAATTGGTCTCTGCTGGAATGTTTCATAAAACTTGACCTTTTTTAAAGTTCATTGTGCCATAATATGATCTGGATGCTCATATTTCGTATGGTTTGGCCTTGTTAATCTTGTCACGTTGTTTTCCTTTAGCATTTCGTACGTAGCTCTGTCGTACTCTCAGTATTCGTAGGTTCGGCTTCGGTCTAGATCTCATATGATTCTCAAGCTAACTTTCTTTCTTTAGGAGGAAAACTGTATGCACTCATCTGGGCTGTGTGCTTTGAGCGAGGCCATGGCAATTTCTTCGTAAGTCATCATCGGTCATCATCAACTTCAAGCAATGCCCAGGTCTTTCGATATCCATGAATCCTTACGTCCAAAGCCGGTTCTCAAGCACATTCACTTTGTTGGCAATCGGGGCAGAAGTCATTGCCTGCGTTCACGAAGTTGAAAATCCAGTGAATGTCCTAACATTCTTTCGTCGGCTTCAATTTTCGGTTAGTAATGCACAACCATCTTTGTTGGATACCTTGTGCCGGTACACCGGCGGCAGTTAGTCTTGCCTTTTTGAGAGTTTTGCAGAAGATGTACTTGCAGCAGATTCACGAGAAAATGCTGCCATCATATTCTGAATTAATCCAGCTAAAACATAAAAGGATTGGAGCCTCAAATTCATCTATGTTGTGGGCTTGCCTTGGATCTTGAAGCCCAACAAAGCAATCCACGTCCAAGTGCATTGGTGATTACGTCACATACTACTTGATTTCCCATGGTTTGGTTTGATCATTAACCAAAGATAAACCAAATTGAAAAATGTAAAAGATGCATATTCTTTGAGTTTATAACTATTATGTATATAAAAAAAAGAAAACTAATGAAAAAAGCTTGAAAACTTTGAGTTTTAATAATAAGGATAAAATAAAGGGTAAAATGAATAGTATCAGGTTTAACTTTTTAGTGTAAAAATATGATTTTTCATTAAAGTAAATAGTATCGCGGGTTTTTTGTTAAAACTCTCTACAAAAAATCGAGATTGAAAATAGCTTAAAATTGTTTTAGTATTTGTTTTGTTTGTTAAGATATACATAAATTTTAAAATTTAAACTCGTTCAATGATAATACGTAAATAAATAAGATGATAAGCATTACGAGAAATTTTTCTTTGTTCCGGGAACTCCATCTCATGCATGACAGGTGGAATACCTAACCAACAGGCATATGACACGTGGCTATATGCTTTTACACAGAAATTTTTTTTTCGGTTACTCTTTTCGTTGAAAATTAATTCATTCTTTGTTTTTATTAAAATTTATTCTGAAACTTCATCTTCTTCATCTGCAACCCCTAATTCATCTTACTTTTAATCATAATTGAAATTGGCTACTCTCCCGGAGCCCAGAACTAGAAATTGGGTTTTGTCCTTGTCGTTTCATCATTTGGATTTTTGTTCTCCTTTACAAAATTCTTGGAATTTCTGACCATTTTACTTATGCGGGTTTTGGGGTTTTGAATTTGTTCAGATTCATATATATATATATATATATTGATCGCGATACATGCATCTGCATAAGGAGAGAGAATATAACGTCGGTCTTTGAGTGAAGGTTGTCGACCAGCCAGACAAGCCAAAGCCAGGTGGTGGTGGGTGTTCTCATTCCTCTGGATTGGAGGTCACTTTACTAAAACGTGTGGAGTGGTAACTTTATTGGGTGGGTACTCCAGCTGTTTCATGTACAAGGTACTCTGAAAAATTTCTCGAGCGTTACCATCACTTGAGTCTGGGAGAAAAATGCACTTTTTTACTTTCATTGTTTCCCCTGGGAATTGATTGTGTGATGAGATTTGGGTTATATGGGTATTCTTGTTAGAGGTTGACTTTCCCAGAGAGAGAGGTAGATCGACGATCTGGGGAGAAGACGGCAGTGCAGGAGGAGATTAAAAGATGAAAATACATTTAATTATATTAAGAGTAATGATATTCATACCATGTTTTTATACCATATTTATATATCATCTTAGATGACATGTTATGTGGACAACTACATTATTTGAAAAATTTGCAAAACCCAAGGAAATGAACAAGCAAGACTTCTCGTATATCACAATCATCATTTAATTAACTAGTTTTTCTTAATTATTAGTTTATTAAATAATGAACTAAATTTAAAAATTTGATTAATTCAAATGATATGGCTGTCCACGTCAAATGCCATCTAAAGTGGTATGAAAATGTGGTATAAAAACATAGTATGAATAACATTACTCGGATATTAAATGACATGATATATAAATGTCATCTGCTACATCATGTGGTTTAGGATGTGATTCAAATAAGATGGGTTCTTAACAAAATAATAAATGTTACTTAGTATTACGATCTAGTGTTACTCATCTTCATTTATAAGTAAGAGGTCTTAGGTTCGATTTTCGCCAAAGACGAATTCAAATCACATTATTTCTAACTCATAATGAGACTAAGCCCACCATCTTCCTCTTAATATAGATAATATCGTTTGTTAAGAAATAAAAATAAAATAGTCACTCTGGATCTTGTACTAGTTAACATAAATAATGAGAATAAATATCAATAATCCCGTCGTAGCTTAGAGATACACTTGGATTAATTAAGGTCATTAACCCCAAAACCATATAATAAACACTGCTTTTGGGGTACTTTTCTCCATCAATTAGAGAAGTGAGAAGTGAGAAGTGAAAGAAAAAACCATTATAAATTAAGGGGGAGAAGAGTAAAAGAATGCCAAAACGAGGAGAGGGCCAAGGGTTTTGCATAATTAAATAAACAATGATACAAGAACATGGGACCCGAACGATCGCTCAAATTATAGGGAAAAACTCTCAATCGAGGAGTAGCTTTAATCAAGCGGTTGTCGTAGTCGTAGTCGTCGTCTTTGTCGTCGTCGTGGTCCTAGCATAGTTCAACACCATGACATGATCAGTGGTTGAGGACTCTGGAAGCAAGGTGAGTGCGTCCCTTAGACTCCAGATGTTGTCTCTTACGTGCTGCAACGTCAAGAAAGGTAGAAGCTCCTGTCCTCTACATGTTATCTCTACCTGCTACCATTCATATCAATCCCAATCATATATATGTATATACACCCACATATATACATGTACACACACTTGCGATATACACGTAAATTTATTATTGAAGAACTAATTACATGAATTAATAATGATAATTAACAGAAACAAACAAGTAAAGAAGAAACAAAACTAATTATTAGTATCGATGGGATTTCACGTGCATGAAAAAGTGAAGTTCATAGTTGCAATCATATCATACGTGCATAAATATTGTGCATGCAAGGACAACATTATGGTGCAACTCGCTTTTTTCTAATTTTCTTTAGCTAAGTGTAATTGATAGCCATGCAGATTTTAATCGAGCATATAATAAACCCTAGAAATTAGGTGCAATACTTCCCAGCCACACAACACACAAAAGACTCTACATTGTAACCGATTGTATAATATTTTAGATTTGTTTATCGATTTATCTTATCACGTCACACAAACTAAACATACTATGTATATTTCACCTGCAATTATATTTATTTTTTATGTTCAAAAATTATATGAGTTATGTATTAGAAATAAAAAAGACAAAATCACTGAATATTATGTAGTGTTCAAGTCATGCTTTGTCACTAGCTTACGTCTATTCCATGCTATGCTCCAATACAAATCTTTGTAACGTCTGCTTTACCCATAAATCTTTCTCAACTTTTTATCTCTACTCCAACAGATTCTTCGTACCCCACACCCACAGTCCCCGTTGATATATCTTCTATTCCAAAAAATATAAAGGAAAATAGTTATATGTGAAAAACCAAAGTATTACGGGCAGTATGAGGGGTTGCCCGCCATGAAAATCAACTGTATGAGAGGAGCTGCCCGCCATCCTACCATCTTAAACTTCCCGGATTTAATGATTACAGGACCTACTCAGACTTTGCAGGTAAGCCAAAATCATTACGCTTTGGACTTTAATATGATACTAATAAGATGCATCATATAATATAAATGATTAAAAATAAATCCAAAAAATCACGTAATGGATCCAAAAAGCACGGCGACGAACAGGCACTACCTATCTTTTTATATTTTCGAAAGGGCCCAAAGCCTAACTATTCCAACTTTCCAATCCAATTTCATCTTCATGCACGTCTCTTTCACGTTGCTTCTGAAAACCCTAATACGAAAGGTCAATATTCCTTCATGAAGTAGCTTCCACCGTATGTTCTTCTTTGGATAATAAAATAGATGTTTTTTTAACTTAATATTATAATCTCTAATACACTGCTTAAATTCTGGCAAAACCAAGTTGTTAAAGTGTCGTTTTTATATTAGCTAACAGGGATTATCCTTGTATTTCTTTAGTGTGCATGCATCGCATTCACAAACTGTAAAGTATTCATTAAACTTCATGGTTCTTATCTGTCTCTCGTGATTTTATTTTTGTTCTTATATGAACAACTTGATTGGAATTGTTCAGTTGCAGATTTACTCATTAACTCTTATACTATTAATATATAAATTAATACTTTGGGTCTATCTATTCAAGTTTGGTTTGGCGATGATGATGATGGGGTGTCTTTTAAATTCCATGCAACTAAGTGCAGCACTTAAGGTTTTGGAGGACCTTTTTTTATCACAAACAGTGCAAATTTAGGAAAAGAATGCAAATTAGAAGGCCCTACAATATTAGCTTTCGAATGGAAAAGATGAAAGATGAGTTCAAAGAAACGAAGGCGTGACGAAAGGAAAACAAGAGAGAGAGAGAGAGAGAGAGAGAGAGAGAGAGAGAGAGAGAGAGAGAGAGAGAGAGAGAACATGCAATGGGTTTCGAGAATGACAGGGTCCACGTGTGATTTTTGAAACCCTACGATATAATTTAGACCGACCAATATGTGTTATTATCGACACTTTTTCGTATGGTAATAAGTGTCAACTGGCCACGATAATCCAAGATGATCGAAGATGTTTGGTTTGCAAAAGCCTAAAGTCAATGAAGGAATTACAAAAAAGAAAAGGTTGGAAAAAATCCCACCTCTGATTATTGCACTAGATGATATATATTCATGTCCATAAAAAATAATTTATCATGCTTCTCATGGATTGTGGCTAATCATAACAAAATATATTAGAGATATATATGATGCATGCCTAACCAAAGAACACAAAAGATCATATCTTGATCATCTGAGAATCGTATCATAGGAACAAACCTAAGTTTACGCAAGAATCATTAGAGGTTATATTTTTTTTTTTTTTAAAGATTTTTTATACATGAAATTTATTTTTATGTAATAAGTGAAATGGAGTTCATCTTTCACACCCTCCAATTATAAACCTAATCATTGGGTATTTAGTTGCATGCCAGGTGTGAAGGGAACGAGTTGGCTTTTAGGAGAGATTTTTCAGGGTGATCCGTATACGGGGTGGTACATCACGTGTCACTATACAAATAGTGGAATATGTGTGCTAAAAAGTTAATAACTTCAAAAATAAAAATTTCCACCACTTCTATTAAAATACGTAGTGTACCACTTATATTCCTGTCACAATTAAAAATTTCTCGACTTTTAGATACTGCATGGAATTTAATTAAATTTCTCCCTAGGAAAAGTATGCAGCAACGGATTCACACCACCCTGGACGGTGGATCCTAATGAACAAAAAAATTGCCAATTCAATGGTGTATGATTGACTTTCATTTAACAAAGTACGAGAACTAATTAAGTTATATTAATATATAAAAGCAAAGAGAGAATGTTTAGTGTGTCACACATCCTAAATAATGCTATATTTTATTAATATGGTATAGAATTAATTTGGAAATATATGGGTGCATGAAAACACTATCTGCAA